ACGAGAAAATGGTGTGTGCTGGCCATTTTAGAGAGTAGGAGGGAGCCAAACGCAAGGTGACCAATGCGGCACTGAAGCCTTGGACTTTGCCAGAGCACAGCGTCGTCTAAAGAGATCACTGGCTAATACTCGCATATATTTTGAGCCACTCATTTCTTCCAAGAAACTCCATCAGCCATTCATCCACTACGCCGCAATCCCATCCCAGTCAGGCAATGAGAGTCATCACCGTTAAAGCTGTGATGGTGCAGCACGTGAGCCACACCGTTTAGTTAATGAACATTTGTACAGCTGCAGCAAGGCTCTGTCTACCTCCGAATTTTACATTAGTTAAACTGTTTCAAATAGGGGCATGATTTTCTACTGAAGTGAAAGGAAAAGGTCCTCTTAAAGCGGACATAGCCAGTCTGCCCTAAAAGCCATACCATTAACCCACTTTTTCTGTTGCTGGTCATCCACATGTGGGAAGGCAGGAGCAGAAACAGGGCAGCTTTCATGATATTAACATCCTCTCGAGACCACCCAAAATACATTTTAGCAGTCCAAATAAACTTTTTCGTTTATTTATTTCCCTCCTAATAACTCCGGCTATGTCTGGACTAAATTAAGCAGCTAGCCCAGCTTAAAGCACAACCCGACAGCTTCAGCAACGTGCTCTTGAAGAAGAATTTACAGCCTGGGGTGTGATCTGATTCAACAGGCTCGGCGTGGTGTAGGGGGTCGGCACACAACCCACACTGTTCATCCATCTCAGCTCCCTTTGAGTTAAAGCGAGGGACAGGCATATTCTTTCAGCGTGGTGGAGGAGACCCTCATTAGCACTGAAATGGCAGCATCACGGCAAGACGCTAGCCATCCTGCCCTACTGCCCCGGCTTCGCACCTGTGTGGCCCAAGCTTTCTTCAGTAGGAAAACACCAGCTCAAAATCAAAGTAAGCCCACAGAGCATCAGGCTGAAGCAACTTCTCAGAGACTTTGAGCACAGATCCAGGGACTTAGGGAAAATCTGCTTTTGCCCCGCATGCAGGTCTATTTGAAAAATGCAAATTGTGAGAAAACAGACCCTTTTTCGCTTCTCACTTTTTATCCAGTTCAGTCAAAAGACTAAATGCCACATAGTCTTCTGTGCTTGATTTTTTCTCTCCATACTGGCTCTGCCTATATCCATATGCAGTGTGTGTGTTTCTACTCAATTTTAAGACATACCATTATGCAAATGTTAGTAATACACATACACACGTTCACACTGATGGGTATTATCCACAGGAAACAATTTAATACATATACACTGACTTTTCCTGCTTTCCAAGTGATGTTATTAGCTAAATCTTAGGAGAAATCTTCAAGAAACCACTTTAAAACATGCTTTAAACTCTCCTCCCACCAATCTTGAATCATAAAAGTGTCACAAAGCAGCCTCTGAAACCTAACCCGCTGTATAATAACAAGCAGCAATGTTAGTATAAGAACACATTTTCTACAATGACTTGAGTGCACTTAATGTTTTCCAGTAGAATAATCAAGCTCCGTTTAATAGCACAGATAGATTTAACCACATCTACAAACATGAAGAGGTTTACATGAAATGAAGATCTTGAAATGTTTACTATACCAGAACTTGACTGGTTCTCAGATGGCAGATGGCAAACTGATGTGAAATGATGTGGATCAGATATTAAAGAGGAAAAAATGAGCTGAATGCAAGAGACAGAAGAAAGAGATTGATTATTAAATGCTACAGAAAAAAAAGACATCCATCAGTGTTTTCCAGACTGAAAACTCTTACAGAAAGGAAAGAAACAGATAACAGCTCTTCAAAAAACAAACACTCACCCACCACCCCTTCTCCTTATACACCACCACCCACAACAACCCAACACACCGTGAGAGCCCAGATTCTCAGCAGGCACCCACTGACACCGGTGGAGCTACACCAATTTACTCCAGCTGAGGACTTGGCCCACTGAGTTAATCACTCTTACCCAAAGGAAAATATAAATCCTAAAAATAAATCATTACTAATAATGTGTCATCCAGCTTCCCTATTAAGTCTCCCTCCAAAAATGTCATCTTTTCCTGAACACAATGAAGAGCTTTCACAAGCTGCAGCACTCTTTAACAGCGCACCTGGCAGAGACGAGCACGCTGTATAATTATTGGAAACAAACGCCTTTCTCTCACCTTCCCTCTCTTTGGAAGCACATGCAATGTATTCTAAAAGTCCCCAAAGTTAAGCTCTTAAGAGTAATAAATGTTTTCTTTTCTTTTGCTGTTGTTGTTGCACAGAAGAGGACTCACTTTTCAGAACAGCACGTGATGCGAGTTGGGTCTAGCCTGCAGTCAGCCGGTTAGCAGAAAACACACATTATGTAGCTGCCAGAACTGAAATCTCGTATTTAATTTGTCAAAGCTTTCAACTCCTCTACTGAGATGTAACTCTTTTTAATGGCCAAACGTCTCTGATACTTCATTTTGCAAAGAAATCCAGGTGGTTTTTCTTCCACCCCCTGAAATGCAGATGAAAGCTTTCCTCTCTCTTCCCTCCTGCCACCTACACGAGCGACTCTGACTCCGCAATGCAGACGGCGAACGCGGGCACCTTCTCCTCCTCCTGCTGCTCTTTTCTCCGAGCCTTCTCCCCCACGCCAGCCCGAGGGGAGGAAGCAGAGGGGGGGAGGAAGGAGGAACTGGCACCTGGGAGGAGGACAAACTGGCACCTGGGAAAGGGTGAGATCGCCCGGCTTGCCCGGCCGAGAAGGGAAGGGGCCACGGGAGGGCTTGGCAGAGGTGGGGGAACCAGGGCGGCAGGGTGAGGACAGGGCGACTGCGCTGCCACGCTACGGGGCGTCCAGGGAAGGGGAGCGGGCAGGGGGCCAGGCTGTCGAGGGGGTGGATGGGGAGAGGAGAAGGGTCCTGCACCCAGCTTGGTCTCCAGGGGAGGGGGAGCGGGTGGGTGGGCACGTGAGAGGCAGCAGCGGAGGCAGAGGCAGGGTGTGAATGCGCTCATGCACAGCAGCCAGAGGGAAAAAGGCAAAAACTCATCTGCCTTCCTCTCCCTGCACCCGTGCCAAGTTTAGCTCCAGCTGTAGGAGTTTTTCTTGTGTGGTGCTAGCATGAAAATTTCAGTATCATCGATGTTTTTCATCTGAGGTACAACCGATTCCCCCAACACAGTGCAGTCTGAGTGCTGGCATATGAGAAAGTCACCATGAGGTTCAACTGAAAGGGCTGAGGGTTGTAGGCGCTTCACCCCGCTCCCGGGCACGCTCGCAGCCTTTACCTTGCAGATCATTTCCAGGACATCTCGCGTGGTGTCCCCAGGACGGATGACTGTCAGAGCAGGCTGGTTGTTCGGCAGGCAGAACCACGACGGCGTAAAATACTCGTGAACCCAGATATCACAGTCGGGATTGTGCTGATGGACGCTGCTCAGTGCCACTTCTTTTTCCCTCTAAACAGACAAAATCCATTATGACTCTACCAGCCAAATATGATCTCCCTCTTCATCAGCAGCAAGTGTAAAGAACATTATATGCTGTATCAAAAAGCCCTCTTACAGAGAAGATGTTTTATTCATAAGCCTAGACTGAAGGCTTGTCTGGACAGGAAACTTTGCAGTTTTACCTGAGCGGTATAAAGTGTGCCTTCCCATGCCACCCACACAGCTAACTGGTGCAATGCACTTTTCCTGGGATTTCACCCCATGGCTATTGGGAATGCCAGGAATACACCAAAAAATAATAGTGATAAAAAGAGTCTTAAAATTAAAACTTAAATGCACTGTCCTTCTGGGTAAACCAATCCAAGGACAACAAAACTGTTGTAGATGCTACAGCTCCTATATCTAGAAATGGCAAAATAGCAAATCTTAGCATTTATTTTGAGTTTACTGTCTTTTATACATCCAAGTTGCACTCCAAGCTATAAATCCCCAGGGAGTGATGGAGCTGCCGAATCCCCATTTGCTGCAAGTGGGCTCACGCAGCTAAACCCATATTCACTACACGAAGAATGTGCCTCTTAGCACTGCCTTAATACTGTTTTATAGCTGACTTTCTCCGGGGAAAGAGAAAGCAGTTGTAATTGCGGCTGCAAACACAGAAGCTCACAGAAGCACATGAGAACAAAGCAGAGACAGCCCTGTGCTTCATCGTTGTGCCAACCCATACGGCCGCCCCAAGGAGCCATTTTCCAGAACCAGGGGTGACCAGGTCCTCCTGCGGACAGGCATTTCCCTGGCATGCGGTGCCAACACCCCACTGGGTCTGGCACCTCCAGCTGTGCTTGGGATGCCACACACGGCAAGCCCTTCAGTCCCTGGGCAACCGGCTCAAACCCCCGCAGAGTGGCCACAAGCCCTACAGCACCCAGAGGGTCCCCTCCTCTCCCGGGGGCTCCACATCCCCTCTCCCATCCCAGAGCCAAGGCTGCACGTAGGCTGGCTGCGAATGGCAGGGAAGGAGGCAGCTGGAGAGCTGGTGTTTTACCTTGCCATCTGGGACCGTATCGTCAAAGATTCCTTCGAGAGATTTCTTTACGGAATCAACTCCTTCACCAAAAACCTGAGGAACAACAGAGCGACTCTGCTTTAAAACATGAACGGCCCTCGGCAGCACACGCTAAGGGGAGAACAGTGTACCTAACATCTAGCATGGAAATCAAACTGAAAAATAAAAACATTCATCTCAAAACACAGAAAAGGAAAATACGAGCTTGTTAAAAGGGAAGGGAGCAGGGGTGAAGGACAAGCTGGTGATGGGGCACCATGCTGAAAGGTTAGAGGCCAGTTCTGCTCAGCGGTCTGTCACTGACTTGGTGGAGCTGGACAAATTTTATCTCCTTTCGTGCTCAGTTTCCCCATCTGTAAAGTGGGGGAAATGAACACTTCTCCACCTCTGCTACGGTTGAGAACTCAGAAGGGTTCCGCTGCTGGCTGGTTTTGTAATAAACCAGCTTCCAAAAAGTACTTAACAAATGTTCACGTACCACTAGTCAGTGTAACTCTTCTCTAATGAACCAAGAGCTGGTAACCCTGCATGAGCCAGAGAGCCAAAATCAACAGGACTCCACGCAGGAGGAACGACAGAATGAGAATATTTACAGGATCTACCCCAAATCAGCACAGGACTGCATCAGATGGGCAAACAGGGTTGTTACTGCAGCAGAAGCTTATAATTAAAAGTGAAAAGCTAAGTTTTATAGCTCCACATCAGCAGAGCTTTACCATCAAGTTGCTGGGTTCGGCTGTTCATTATTCTGTACCCAAAATGAAGCAGGGACCACGCAGGACAGGAGAAGATCGCTGCCCTTCTGGGATTTACAGTTCACTGCTTCAACTTGGCAATACTTGGCATGCTACTACACACAAGCAGGGGGAATGTGTTCAGGCACTACATTTAGACATTCTGCTACTTTCTCAAAACTTTTTACTTTTTCTTTGACTCTCTCCAGTATGACTTTTCTTCAACCTGGAACAAAATCCCTTCCCACGCCTGTGTTTATTGAGGAGTGAGGGGGGTAGGGGTGGGGGGAGGAAGCGTGAAGAACACATTTATCCCCACTGAAAGAACAAAAAAGGGTGAGTTCAGGGGAAAAAAAAGTCTGAAGACACAGCACGGGCAGGATCCTAGCTCAGGACAAGGGACTGCGCTTGATTTGGGGAAAACAAGTACAAAGCATCAGGGATGCCACAGAACCAGCACAAAGAATTGGGAATGTGCTCACTGAGGCATCCGCTGCTTCCCAGCAAAACCCTGAGCTTTTTGCTCAGCCACTAAATAAAGTGAGACTAAGTGAGACTCTTAAAGTCTCACTGAAAACAAGCTAAACAATTTAGCAGCATTCATCCTCTGCTAAACAAAACAAACACCCACTGCTGCTTTAACAGAAGGAAGAAGAAATCACAGGGCACAGAACAACATGTGTCCCAAGCCCTTCTCCCCTCAAAAAGTGAAAGAAGAGAAAGAAAAGCAAAGCCTACATTTCCTGCAATTAGATGAGGTATGGCTCTCAAAAACTGAAAGCTATAATTAGGGATGTTTGGAAAGAATAACAGGGAAGCACCTTCCTACCACACTGAAACATGTTTTCTAGAGAAAGATCTGGGCAGTGACTGCATGGAAATGTTTCAGCTTTTGCTTTTTTTTAAATCTGAAGCACAACAGGGACTGTCCATACTCAGTGCAAAGCTTTTTGTTACTTTAGGAAGTTTTCCCCAAACTCGGCTATGTTTAAAGTATTCTACAAACTCGTAATTTTAATCTAAAGAAACAAACTAGTCTGCTTCTTTTTTTTTTCCTTCCAAAGTTGCATCTGTTTTACACTGCTGCTTTGTTACTCTTGAGTTTAGGGCAGGTACCTCCAGCAAAAGCAGAAGCAGCAGAAATGAAACAACAGTAGAAATGCAACCAATTCAGCTAAAGAAAGTGCAAACCTTGTTTGATAGGAGTTGCTGAATACTTACCTGTAATTACAGTCACTAATTTTTGAAGAGGATGTAGAATGAGATGACTATACGCCGTGAAAGATTAAACAGGCAAGGCTTAGGGTGGATGTGTAAGTGCTTGATGCAAGTGACTCTTTGCATGAGCTGCATTCTGCATGCTAAAAATTACGCCTTGAAAATAACAATATCACAAACTTACACACACATACCTGATTAATGCTTGGCCTCCCTTGCTTCTTCTTCGAGGTAGTATCCAGCCCCCAAAGAGAAGAAAACCTGCTTCTCCGTTTACTGGCAGATCTGGACATGGCCTGCGTCCTTCTCCTCACTCCGGACTCCCCGGTGCGAGCTGCCACCTGTCAATGCCACATGGTTTTTAAATCAAAAGTCACAGCATCCCGTGGCACGATGGTTTACATAATCTAACAAACAGTGGAATCCGGTTGGAAAAAAAGGCAAATACTATGGCAACAACGGGTACTCACAACAGGGACAGCGGTGATGCTGCCAGGCTACTTCCTTCTCACTGCAGCTTAACTCACTTCTTCCAATGTCAAACATCAAAAATTAAAACGGATAGTACCACCTCCCCCCCATCTTTTGGCATTTAATCTGAGATATTTTGAAGCAGCCTAATCATCATAGAGCAAAGCCTCAGCACCAGTGAAGGGTTGGGGTTTTTTTCTTTTTTTTTTTTTTTTTTTCTCCTAACAAGGTTTCAAAGCTGGACACACAAAACCTGAGATTTCCAAACTTGCCTGTTGCTTCCAAAAAGCCTGGTCCTTCTCTTTGCTCTTTCCTGTGGAAGCACTCTGGGCATCCTGGAACTGACTCATAACTGCGACAAGGCCAAATAAAGGCTTGCAAATAGGTCAAAGTATTTAAAACCTGCACTTCCTTAAAGAAAACAACATTTGAAGGAGTGAGCAAAACACGGGAAGGAGAAAAGTGAGCTGAAATGACACTTTCAATTACAGCCACGTTAACTGCTTGGGTACTTGAAAAATGTACCTGTGGCAACCCCTTTGATCGAAAAGATATTTGCCTTTTCTGAGACCAAATATTTGGGGAGCGTTTCCCAAATGAGGGAGCTCTGGTATAAATGAGTGCGATGTTAGTCAGAGGTGAAGTGTTCAGGCCAAATTTTAAGCAGATTTCCCACGTGGAGGCGGCCTCAGGAGAGCAAGCTCCTCTCCTGCGAAGAAGGGAGTGGTCGGAGACGGCAGGTATGAATGGGAGCGCAAGGCGAAGCTAGACAGACCGGCCGGCAGACAGACCCACCCCGCCGACTTGGCCGTACGCTTCCTGGAGCACCTTCGGACTGGGTTCCCACAGCCGAAACCAGCAAACTGTGACTGTCGTTTGGCAACCCAGTGGGAACACCCGCACCTCTGAGTGACGCCCCAAGCTGCGGAGCTGAGAAACTGGTTGTTTGGGTGCAGCCGATACAAAAACCCATGTAAAGACGGGACAAACAGAAGGCTGGCTTGTGTACCCAGGGAACCGTCACTGTATCAGTGATGGTGATTCTCCTCAGGAAACGTGGAGAAATGAAAGGAAAAGGAGAACTTAAACACTACCGCAAGTGTCTCCATTTCCACAGCCCGGACTTGTGAGAGGTTTCTCAGCTGTACCTGGGACGTTTGTGCAGAGGCATGGGGGAGACTTAGCACATCCCCTGACGAATGTACTGAGGAGCATCCTCAGGAGAGCTAGGGATGCCTCGCTATCGCCATGCAGCACCCAGCTCGAGCCCGAAACTCACTGCACCATCTCCTCACTACTGAGGGCAAAGGAGGACACGAGAGTTTGCTTGAAGGAGAAGAAAGCACGTGTCTTTTCCAACACAACATATTCAAAACATATTTTTTTTCACTTGGCTCTCAAGAGACGCCAGCCTGAAGAGGCAGACTGTTTTTCAGGCTAACGCTCAGTGCTTTGCTAGATGCAAAAAAATAAGCATAAATGCAAATTACAGCCCGCCACTTAAAAAAAAAAATAAATCCACCAGCAATTATCAGGATGATGACGCTAATCTTTTCATAGATAAAAGAATAAAACCGCCCCTGACTGAATTACAGCTCTGGATTCAATTGAAGGGTACAGCTGACATCTACAAGACAACAGTGGAGCTCAGCTATTTCTGTGGAGCTCCAGGAGTCCAAGCCGAAACTACAGGAACTTGATTTAAATTCATTAAAGAACCATCACTTTGCAATACATTTACCTGTATTTTTAAGAACTGGGTTGTTACATTATTTAAATTTAAACAACCATTTTAAACATTGTTTGCCACACCAGAAGCAGCAGAGAAGAACATTCCCCCTCCCTTGCGGAGCATCAGGTGTTGATCACTGGAGACCGGGTACTAGACTAATCGGTCAGTAGTTTCATCCGTACGGCAGAAAGCAAGCCATGCCCGAGAAGGGCTAAGCCAACAGGTGCTGAGGGCCTCGGAAAGACTCCCATGGACTTCACGGGACTCTTGGATCAAGCCCATGTACATGGACATTAGAGATGAGCCTGCTCTTGTGACAGGAAGATCTGTTTATAGAAAGCACGTTTATAGTGCAGACCTGGAAATTCAAAATCACACGTTTAGGAAAAATACGGTTCTTTCACTTCCATAAGGCCATGGTTTGCAAGCATCTGCTTTTTAATCTATATCCAGGACACACACCCCTTTCAAGCAGCAGACTATTCTGCTCACTAAGGTGAGGGCTCACTCCCCAGGCACAGACTGCGGTTTGTCGACGCAATCTCTGCTTTGGACACATGAAGCGATTTGCAGGTTGGCAACGATGACCCCTGGCCTCTGTTCAAACTTACCAGTGCATGAAACGATGAGACTGAAAAGATTCCAAGACGGCCCATCGCAACTTTCGTTGGACGGCTGGCAAAAGCAAGCAGTCTTTTAGGGTTTGGGAGCTCCCCTCCTTGGAGACTAGCCAAGTAACAGCGGTACCGAAATAGGTCCATCTGGAACTGTTCAAGATTTTGTTCCCAAACAAAGATCTGCGTGCAGTGAAGATTGAGGAGCAAGATGCACAAGAAGAGAAGGGGAGAGGAGGAAGAACAGGGTGGTAAATACCTTGAAAAAATTCTACTGTTCCCAGTAACACACCTTTTTCACCCACGCTGATCTCATTCAAGAAACCTTGGTTCCCCTTCTTTCCCACTCTCCCTTACCCTCCCAACCCCAGATAAAGGATACAAATAATAAAAAAGTTTTAATTAGATGGAAAACAACTTTTTTTATGTTCATGGCAGAAGTCTTCTCCTGGGACAACTGCTCTTTTCATACAACGCTAATTAATAGGATTAAAATTTCTTTTTTGATTTGCGTTGTATTCCAGGATTCTCTTCTGAGCAGTCCCTTAAGAGGCTTCTTTCATGCATCAAGGGCATCTGAGAAACAAGACGACCAAACCCCACCAAATTCCATACACAGAGCGCCCCGAATCAGCAGCCGCAGCAGCAGCAGCCTTGCTGCAAGCATCAGCGCAGCTCGCCATACTTGAAAAAGTGTAGTACACTGGGGATAATTAATCTTATCAGCAGAAGAGCACTATAATCAGCCTGTGTAAGGACTTATTTAAATAATTCAAATTGCTGATAGGAAACAGTTGCAAAGCGTTTAGAAAAACTCAGTTACATAAAGAGAGAAACTGCTCTGCCCTCACTGTGATTGACAGCCTTTGAGTGGAGCATCCCCCCCCTCTCTCTCCCTGCTCACGGGCTTCCAGGGGGTACGAAATCCCTTTAGCTTAGCGCATTAGGGCCCCGGCCACTCCCTGTGGTTTGCATTACAGGCGCGTTTGGCAGCCGTCGTAAAAGAGCTACAAACTAATGAAGCAGGAGCCATATGTTAGTTTCCTAAAATAAGGTGCCGCTGCGGCAGCGGGAGAGACATCTGCTCTAGGCTCTCTGCTTCTGAAAGGCAACAACGCTGTCCACTTGAAGGCAGAAGGAGTGGTCCCCATGAGGACTCAGCCGTGAGGGCAGAGCAGGCACTTGTCACAAGCAGAAACCAGGAATGGCTTCTTCATCCCACCCACCAGCAGAAGAACCAGCCTCTTCCATGCTTGGGACAACAGCCACAGCAGCGTTTGTCGGTCTACGACCAGCTGTGCCCAAGGCATCCTGCTGCTGTGGCCTGGTAGCTTCTTCACTCCCCTAAAGCCCTCACTCCGTCTCCGAGTGGTTAGCCAAATCCCTTGCCCAGAGGCCAGGAGAAGACAGCCCACACTGTACCTTAGTGCACGTTCTTTGGAGAAACAGAATCACAGAATCGATTCGAAACAGTGCAACTAGGGCAGCCGGCACAGCCCTCCTGCCAAGACACCTCCCGCCTGCTCCGGGGAGCTCTGCCGGTGCACCCACCGCACAGCGGGAGCAGACGGAGGTACCGTGAATCTGAAGGTGGCCTTAAATATTTGTTAGGGGCTTATTTCACATAAACAAACGAGATTACTTGATCCAGTATGGTCTTCTTCTTCTTGGAGTCCGTTACTGAGGACAGCTGCATTTCACCCATCTTCTTCATCTTCTCATCCATATCAATCTTCTGCTCCAGCTTTTTTATCTCTGTTTTCAGGAGCTTGACGGTGTCCTCTTTGTGATGCTGCCTTGCCACCGCGGTTGCACAAGCTGAATGGATTGCCGTGATCCAGTTCTCCAGTTCAGTCTGGCTAGAGGTCTGAAGAGAGGGAGGGGAGGGGGGAAAGGAATCAGAATACCCTTTAAAATTGATTGGAGATTAACAAATGCAATTCCAAGGAGTTCCCTTTCCCTTTGATCTTAAGATTCAAAGCCTTAAATCCACTTATGAGAGAAGTAATAAAAACTCCATCATTCTTAAGCAGGCCATTTTTAACTCAGCACTAGGCATTCAGCACTTAGAATTACACCTATATCTGTGCTTTGCAGCCGTACAGTGTTTCCCAGCAAGGTCTCAGGAATTACTTCCCCTGCTCAATGCAATGCTGCCATAATTGGTAGCCCAACACTTAATGACGTTTTCTAAACACCCAGTTCCTTAAGACAGGGAACATACCAGCCTCAGTGCTCTTCACAGTATGGAGAGCTTTTCTGGCATGCAACAGTTAGTAATAAATTAATGGCATAAAAAGTAACCATGATATCTATGAGTAGCTTTATTATGATGCATAGACAAACAAGCTTTCCACTTCTGAAGGTCCCAAAGCACTCTGAAGACAACCCTGTTGCCATTAAAGGCAGGCTCGTCATAATTTTCATGGCTCTGGTACTGTCCCTTCCCAAGCATGTGTGCAATGGTTCAGGAAAAGGGAACGCTTCCCCTCCCTGGAAGTGTTCAAGGCCAGGTTGGATGGGGCTGTGAGCAACCTGGTCTGGTGGGAGGTGTCCCTGCCCATGGCAGGGGGTTGGAACTGGGTGGTCTGTAAGGTCCCTTCCAGCCAAACCATTCGGTGATTCTATGAGATATTAAGCCGGGGCATGGGACACCAGTACATTTCTCTGGAAGAGCACTGTTCTGATTAGAGGCTTTTGACACAGAAAGAAGAATATTTCAAAGCATTCCTTTTCCAGACTTCCAAAATAAAAAGTAAATCTTCTTAGCCTTCTTACTAAATTTCATTCCTTTTTACAGTAGGTTGTAAAACAAAATTTACAGCCAATTCAGGGCTGCAGCAGGCTTTCTCTGAGTGTCAGTCTTTAGCAGTAATCACACTGGTGTTTGGCTCATGGCTGAAAAAAAGTAGCAAGGTGCCAAACCGCCTTGTTCTAATTACAGTTTCTGATGATACCTGATCTATTAATAGGCAGCACAGTATGACTTCCCCAGTTGCTAGCACAGATGAAGAAGGTCATCTTCACTGCTCTCCGGGCAGTCACGACTAACAGCAAAGGATGTGGCTTACTGAAGCCAAGGAGAGATGTCCACAGAAGCCCAGCTCTGGAAATCACATATGCACAGGCTGGACTTCAGGTTGATGCTCCCAAAACTCCTGTGGTACTGGAGCAGGTGAAACACACATGTCCCAGAATGATCTCGCTTTCCTCAGCTCAGGTTAGAACTCCTAAGCAGAAGAGAGGGTCCACACTGGGAAGACCGATCTCTTACTCCCAATTTTCTTGTCTTCAGTTGGCACGGTACAAAGTATATTGCTTAAACAGGTCAGGCTCCCTGCCCAGGTAATAATATTAACAAGCTCTCATTCATAGATCGGGGCTTACGATGTCTTACTGCCACTGGTGAGTCCCCTTGCTGAGGAATTTCTGCTGAAAATAGAGAAATTATTTGCAGAATGGGAGACACTTTGCCTACAGTCAGGTGATGAAACCTAGCCCCCAGTAGAGAAGAGAGTAGCGCCGGACTTAATAATGAGATGCTATGTTTTGTTAATTCCTGGCAAAATCCTAACAGCAAAAGGTCATATTTTTATCTTATTCAATTTTGAACTATTATCTCTATACCATTAGATTCAGTTTTCTTTTCGGTTTCCTGGGGAGAGGGAGGGCAAAAAAGAACCTGGAATTGATTTTAGGAGCCAAAGCCTCTTCTGGTAGATGAGTAGGCAAGGGGAATCACTCCGCTTCTCAAAGGAAAGGACCACATAAACAAGCTGCAAACATCTGATACATAAGTATGTGGTGTCACAAGTTCCTCTGAGCTCCTGGAAAATGCATGTGACATCTGCAAGTAATGGATTTGTGTAGGCACGGTAAGAACTGACTGAGCAAGGAATCATCGTGTAGGAGGTATGTGATGTCTCTAGGTGCAATGCAGTGGGAAGGCTTGTTACAAGATGTCCAATATTGGTGCGCGTTACAAAGCAACCCTATTTTTCTCCCTAAGTACACAGTCTCCATGGGACAGAAATAGTCTTCTGCAGGTCTGTGGTTTCTTCTCATCAAAACCGCTACTACAGCACAGTGTTACATGTGGACGGACACGTACGACAGGAGCAGTTAAGTAACACTGCTGAAGAGCCGTACGCGTGCATCAGTTGCTCTGAGCGCAGCAGAGCGAGCCCTATGGCACAGCCACTGACACGTTACATCCACCGCCGCCGCTGCTCTCCTTCCCTTCGCCCCAAACCCACCCCTGCTTTCTCTTCTGCTCGGCTAGCGATGCATGGGTTCTACGGCAGAAGGGGTACATCAACGAAAAATTTCTGCAAGGCAATATAAATGATTGTTTTTCATTTGAAAAGGCTCATTTTTGCTTTTTCCCACAAAGTTACACGAAAATCTACCCATAACAACACAGGGCTTTTAATGAATAAGGCCCTGCGTTGCCACAAAAGAAACGTACTGAATGTGACCTTTTCAGTATTTAGCATCCATTTGGCATTAATTTTATGAGAATGAAGGTTTTTCCTTAGAAAACTGCACAGAAAAGATTTTACAGCTCATGTCAGTAGATCAAGAGGAGGTGGTGTTCCACAACCCTTCAAAAGCACACGCTGAGACCATAAGCACCACACTTGCCTCCTGGATGAAGCTCTCCAGGCAGCAAAATACATGTACCCTGCCCAGGAAAGGCATGAAGGAGAAAGGGGCAGTGCAGTATTACCCTATCAGCCAAGGAAAAATCAGACTGTAGTGGGAGAGAAGCCAGACCGCAAAAAAATTATTTGGTTTTTTTTCAGTATGCAATCAGATACTTGGTCTCTTCAACAGGTAAGCCAGGACCAGTTCCTTTGAGTCAGTAAGGCTGTTTTATTTGGCACTAGTTTGAGAATCTAGCCCCTTGTTTAGGACAGCTGCAAGGACCTGCATGACAGTGTAATTTTAAAGATCTGCTCTGGAGTACAGGGGTGTGATGACGTGGGAGCACATCTCACCACAGAGTAGCTTCTGGTTTAGGAACGCAAGAAACTCTGCATCCATTGTCACTGGAAAGGGAAATAAATAAGGGATTCCTCCGGTGAAGAAAACTGAATGAAAAGAGGAGGAAAAGGCACTACCTCAGCACAGGCTGGCAATTACAAATGCGAGAGTGTCACACCTTGATTAGTGACAACTTGCAATAAGAAAGTGGAATGCCAACCTAAAAATCACTCAGGGAAGTAGTTACCACAATACAGAAAACTTTTTCAGTGAAACACATCAACTAATGTATGGTCTTTGATATAAATACTGGATTTTTTAAAAACATACCCTGTGAAATTCAGACATTTCTATCTTCTGATTAAGAAAACCAAACACACACTTTCAGTCTCCTCTCGGGCAACAGCAGGATGTTGACTAAGCTCTGTATGAACAAGGGGCAACTGGATTCTGCAGGGCCACTGGGAGAGCACCTGGAGGTCCAAGTATCCCCTTGCACTTCAGAAACTCCTCTTGGTCTCGTAAACCCTTTGAGCCTCTCCACAAGGTCCCACCTTCGGTATGTGTCTCTTACAAGATGCAGGTAGCGTTACAGCACATTTAATGCACTACCGTATGTCCTATATGGTAACTGGCCGGGTCCGTGTGTTATAAGCACACTGTCAAACCATGCAAAATTCCCGCTTTTTACCGGGATGTAAGAATATTTCTGAACTTTTACTTTGTTCCAACCATCTACCCAAAGAGGGTCCAGCCAGTCAATAAAAACAGTAGATCTGACAGTGATTCACATGTGCTGGTGGGTCTCTTGAGTGGCATTTTCCAAATATATCGTGTCCTTCCTCTAGCGCTGCCAGAGGAAAATCCCAAACCTACTGGAGTCAGCAGGATTTTTCCACTGATTTCAACCACAGCCAAGATTTCCTCCTTGGTTGGAGACAGAAAAAGAGAACAACTTTGTAAAACCCTCGAACCAGACCAACCTGAAAGAGGAAAGCGTCCCCAAGGGAGTTGCTGAGACAGAAGACAAAGTCCTTCTTGGGGTGTTCAGGCACCGCTTGCACTATGCTGTTTTCCACCCAGACAGCATGCTTCGGGATACTGTTGTGGTCAATGCCAGATCTGCCATCAGTCTCATAAAAAAACAACGTGCATCCTAAAAGAGACAATCGTATATTAGCAAGCAACATTCAAATGCAACAGACACCCTGCATCTATTCAGCGCTGATACCTGGGACTATAAATCATCCGTAGAACTGTCAGAGGGATGAGGGAGGATTTGCCAGGGCCTGTTCAGGTTGTCGGCTGTGCAGCAGAGAGCACCAGCAATGGCCCAGTTTTTAGCCTGATGACAAGGTAGTGGTTTCCACGCCACGGGGGCACACCACGAGCTGTATGGTACAATCAAGCCAGTGGGCCATTTTGTTCGCCTAGGATTGATTGCTAAAACAGAGCTGCCGGCAGGAGCCAAGAAAGTCACAGGCAGTAAAATACAGCCCCAGATGAGAAACATCACTGTAAGTCCCAAAGCGGGAGGTCCTCCACAGCCACCTCGTCCCGCCGAGGGGACCAAAAGGAAGGCGCGGCCCTGAGAGCGTGTCTTCCCCGGTGGTGCCGGACAGCCG